AAAAAAAAAAAAGCTGGGGGCTGGGAAGGTGGCTCAGTGGTAGAGCGCTTGCCTTGCATGCATGAGGCCCTGGGTTTGATTCCTCTGCACCACATAAGCAGAAAAGCCAGAAGTGGCGTTGTGGCTCAAGTGGTAGAGTACTAGATTTGAGCTGAAGAACTGAGGGACAGTGCCCAGGCCCAGAGTTCAGGCCCCATGACTGGCAAAAAAAAAAAAAAAAGCTGTGACCTGCTCATCTTTGCGTTCACTGGTGGTTTTTGTTTTGCTTTTGTTTTCCATTTGTCCCTGTTACCTCACACCTGGGCATCAACACTAAATCTACCATCACCCTCAGTGCTGGGGCTTGAACTCTGGACTTGGGTGCTGTCTCCCGAATTCCTTTTGCTGAAGGCTAGTGTTCTATCACTTGAGACACAGTGCCACTCCCAGCTTTTTCTGTGGTTAATAGGAGATGAGCCTCACACTTCCCTGCCTTGGCTGGCTTTGAACTGCAATCCTCAGATCTCAGCCTCCTAAGATACTAGGATTACAGGTATGAGCCACCAGGGCTAGGCAACAATAACGTGTGCGTGAGTGTGAGTGTGTGCTCATGTACACGTTAGTACTGGGGCTTGAGAGCTTCCTGCTTTAATTTGGCTAGTTCTAGCCTTTTGTAATTAATTGGAGACAGGAATCTGCCTGGGCTAGCTTTGAACTTCAAGCCTCAGATCTCAGCCTCTCCAGCAGGTACAATTAGTTGTAAGCCACTGGCATCTGGCTAGCAATAACCTATGAAGCTCTATAGTTGAAGTCCACCCTACATGCTTGTGCTTCCTTAGTTTACTGCTCCTCTGCTCAGAAGCTTCCAGTGCTTCTCAGTGTAGTGTCTAGTGTGCAGAGGCAATGCTGCAAAAGCTCATCTGCAAGTGGATTGTTCAGAACAGTGAAACAAAGTTTCCTATCCCCACAACATACTGATCAGGGAGACAAGTTTACATACAATATACAGTGCATACACTAATGAAGGGGAAGGAGAGAGACTAACAAAATTCATTAATTGCAGTATAAGCAAATGTAAAATGTTTCTAGAGGAAAATGTGCTCAGATTCATTTGGGCATGGCTGGCACACATCCTGGCCTTAGGGAATTCCCCTCCATGCCAAAACTGATAATTCTCACAGGCTATGACATCAGCTGTCTAATTAATATACCTGACATGCAAAGCCCTCTTAGATTCCAGTGTCATCATGAAATCTACATTGAAATCTCTCCCCCATCATTCTAGCTAACAGTGATAGCTTTACTCTGATGTCTAGACGGCTTGTTTGACAGCTACTCTACTGTATTTTCATGTATTTTTAATTCCTCGTGAGTATGTCTTAACTCTGACGAGACTGTAAACTCTTGGGAGGAAAATGGTTCTACTTTTATATCCTATACAACCCACAGCACATAATAAATAGTAAGCACCCATTGTTACTGACATGAAGCAATGACTTGTGTTCCACATGATACACATCCAATCAGGATCTCATTTTCCTAATTGCCAGTTCTGCTCCCCGCCCTGCCCCCCCAAAGTCTCCTGGAGCCCTTAAGTCAGGAGGCTGCCTTTGGAAATGTCTCATTGGGCACTGTTGGCTTTCACCTGTATGTAATCCTAACTACTCTAGAGGCTAAGACCCGAGGATTGCTGTTTGAAGCCAGCCCAGTCAGAAAAGTCCGTGAGACTTACCTTCAGTTAACCATCAAAAAGCCAGAAATGGAAGAATGGCTCAAGTGGTAGAACACCAGTCTTAGATCGAAAAAGCCAAGCAGGAGCTTGAGGCCCCAAGTTCAAGCCCCAGTGCCGTTTCCTCTCCCCCCAAAAGGAAATTTATCTCACAATAGGAAATGGCTCAAAATATGAATGGGTCAGAGAAGATGACCTTGATTACATACAGGTATGTATGTTCCAGGCCACTTACAAATGTATCCTCACATCTGCAGTATTTGAAGAAACTGGGGCTCTGAGACAGGGTGACAAGACTTAGATAATTTCAAAGCTGCTACTGAGAAAGATTCTGACTCCAGAGTCTGTGATGAAGATATGCAGATGTCTGGTCAGGGCTTCTGAGCTACCTGAGGCCTCCCCCTCCTGTTTCTCAAAACTGTTGGGTCAAAGGGGATGAGGCAGGCCCAGGAGGACTTTTCAATGAAGAGCACAGGAGCAGCATCTCTCCCCCAGCCACCACCCCCAGGTTCCATGCTCTCTGGCATTGCCACACATTCTCTGCTCCTGAAGAAAACTAGTCAAGATTTGAGTCAGACAATGTGCTGTTCAAGGATCTTGCCGGCAACATTGTTTATAACTGCAAAAAAATTATGAACTACATGATTACCTGTTAAGAACTGTGGCTAAATGCACAACAGCCATCAGATGGAGCACTGTGTTACTCGGTATTTAAGGGACAGAAATATGTTGGTAATGCAAGAAAGCGTGATACATACTTATGTGTGCGTGTATAGGCCTGGGACATTCATGAAATACATTTAATCTTTACCTATCCAAGAAACACTAAGTAGTTTAGAAGGAAAAACGGGTAAGTTTTCCAGTAAGCGTCTGTAGAAGTTTCTGGGTTTTGTTTTTAGGGCCTGGGCGCTGTCCCTGAGCCTTTTTGCTCAAGGCTGGGCTGGCGCTCCGCCATTTGAGTCGCAGCTCCACCTCCGCCTTTTTGATGGTTAACTGGAAATAAGAGTCTTACAGGTTTTCCTGCGCAGGCTGGGTTCGAACCGCTACACTTCATCTCTCAGTCTCCTGAAGAGCCAGGATTACAGGCGTGGGCCACACCGGCATCCGGCACTAGTTTTTTTACCAAGCCCAAAGAAGGTCTGACACAAAAAACCCACGCAGCATCGACCCACGGGGTGTGGGCCTGGAAAGGACGAGGCGGGTGAACGGGAAGGGGACAACCCGCAGCTCCGCGGGGCGGACGGCGGGGCCGCACCGGGCGCCCGGGGGGCGGGGGGGCGCTACGCCGAGCACCCCTCGGCGTCGGGCGGCCCGGGCCTCGCGGACCCCCGGCGGGGGGCCGACCGCCTCCGCCGCCCGGCGCTGGCGCGCGGGAACGGCCCGGCAATGTTACCAAAGTCGCAGCTCGGCGGCGCCGGCGCCCGCGGGCGCCCCGGGTCCCGTCGCGCTCGCCGGCCGGCCTCCAGGCCCCGGACGCTCCCCGCGCCGCGCCGGTCCGCCGGGCCCGACCCTCGGGCCGGGGTCCCCGCCTCTCCGCCGCGCCCCCGGGTCTCGAGGATGAGGGAACGGAACATCCACGGGCAGGCTCCGCCGCCACCCTCGGCCGCTTCCACTCGGCGCCGGACAGGAGCGCGGGTCCGCGAGCCGCGACGGCGACGCTCGCCGGGGCTTCGCCAGGGCGCGTGCGCGGGGCCCGTGCGTGCGCGACGAGGGCGCGGCCGGCCGGGACTGCGGCTGCGTAGAGGCGGCACCAGGCGCTGCGCCTGCGCAGTCGTGGGGCGGGGCGGGAAGAAGGGAGGCGGTGGCCCCGGCGGCGGCTGTGAGGAGGAAGGAGGAGGAGGAGGAGGAGGAGGAGGAGGGGGTGCGGAGGGAGGTGTTTCTGTCAGTTCCGGCTGTTTGTTCGGGAAGTGGATCCGCCGCTGCCGGAGCAGCCCGGAGGGAGCTGCGGATCGCGAGGCCAGCACCGACCCCGCCCGCCCGCCCGGCCGCCCGCGCGTTCCGCCCCCGCCCGCCATGGCCCGGGACTACGACCACCTCTTCAAGCTGCTCATCATCGGCGACAGCGGTGAGGGCCGCGGCGGCCGGAGGCGGCGCGGGCCCTGCCGGGCGCGGCCCGCGGGGGCCTCGGGGCGGGCGGGCGGGGAGGTGCCGGCCGCGCGGGGCGGGAGGCGGGCGGGCGGGCGGGGCCGCCCGGCGGACCCGAGCCCCGGGGGCTGGGGGGTGCGCCGGGGGGGCTCCGGCCGGTGCCAGCCCGCCGGGCGGCGGAGCCCAGGGGCCGGGCGTGCGGGGTCCACTCCCCGCGCCCGCTCCGGCCTCACGTGTGACCTTGGTCAAGTCTCACGATGTCCCGGAATCGGAGAGACCCGGGTTCGAGTCCCGGGACCATCAGTTTGTTCAACTCGGTGACCTTGGGCAAGTTGCTTCGCCTTTCCGACCCTCAGTTTCCGCATCTGGGCAATGGAGACCTTCCTCGCTGGGTAGTTGTGAGTATGTGCCGAGATAAAGTGGGCAAAGTGCTCGGAGCCTGACCCGGGGTGAAGTCAGCTCTAAGTAAGTGCTAGCTGTCGGTGTCACCGTCAGGCTCCTTTGTAAGACCCACGCCTCTGTTAAAAGTCGGGGGGCGGGGAGGTGCCCCGTGTCCTCGGCCCTCGTGGGGTTGCTGTGAGGTGTCAATGAAAGGGGCAGGTAAGAGCGCTTCCGCAGATTTGGCGTTGGGTGATCATTAAATCTCGGCGTGGTTCAGTGTGCACGTCTGTGAAGTGGAATGATGGTCGGGCTGCCTCCTTCCAAGGCCGCTGTGGAGTATTCATTGAGATAGTGCACACACATAGTGTTGGCACACCCAGCCGGGGCGCAGTGGCTTCTCTCAGCTTCCTCTATACCAGAGAGGTATTGCGGGCCGGTCAGCCAATGTGTCTGGCCCAGCACTCCTAGTTCAGATCTCCTGTTCATAGAATAGTGCCTGGCACCCAGTAAGTATGGAATACATAGTTGTGGAATGAATGAACGAGCAGTGTTTTCGTACGTAGTTGTTGAATGAATGAATGAATGATTATCCAATGTCCTTAGAAAAGATATTTTGGTTTCTGGCAAGGGGCAGGGAGGGTTTAGAGGTGTTTGGAATGTGACAGGTGTGCAGGTTTATTGGGTGACCGAGAGGTCAGGAAGGCAGGCCCCAGGAGGTTTATGGGAGCAGAGTTAAATTGCTGGGATTACATGTGTCCTGGAAGGAGGCCTAGAGAGCAGCTAAGGTTATAGACCAGACTTCAGTTGTGGATCTGGATGAGGATCACGTGACTGGAAGTAGAGGCCAGGTTGGTTGTAGGGCTCATGGACAGTTGAGGAGATAAGGGGAGCGAATCCCTCGTGAAACCCGGGATGTAGGAGGAGGGTTGAGTGGCAGGCAGTGCCGTAGATGGGTGGTGGAAGTGCTCCCACCTGGGGAGCTGGACGGGGATGTGGTTGGTGGATTTGTTACCCACAAGCCAGTGGGCACTGAAACCCTTGGATCCTGCACTGTCTTTTCTCATTTCTTCGGCTCCAGTGTTCCATCGTGCTGTCCCAGGTTGTGGGCAGCAACAAATGGTGCCGATTTGTTGGCGTTCCAATGAGATGGAAGAGTAATTGTGGTTGGGGAAGAAGTGAGTTAGGTGGAGGGCTGATTGGTTGTGGTTTGAATGAAGGGAACCAAGCAAGCTGCCGAATCTTTCACTTGGACTTGGCCTTTGGTTCACCCCAGGGTCCCGAGGCTCTGCCTATGTAGCATTTGCCTTCTGCTCTGGCCTTGGTTAAAGTCAGTCTGCTCTGGCAGAGGTCTGTCTTTATCCCCCTGCAAGACATCTCTGGCCTCTGTGTTGATCTTTAAAAATGAAAGGCTTAAACTCAGCAAGAAGATGCAGCATTTGCTGGCTTTTCTCCTCCAGGAAACCCTGGGGATGGTTTTGGCTGCTTTCTTACTGTGCATTTTACATGGTTTATTGATTTTTTCCCCCACTCAGAAGTCAGGTGTGGGAGAAGACTCACTGGGTCAAGATTTCTGTGGTCTGGCTATGAGTTCAATCTGAGTATGTAGCCTGGGTTGTGTAGAGGAGTTAAGGTGCATTGCTATTTGATTTCTCCTGATGTTAGCTGATATTCAAAGCCCAACACTTAATGGTAGCCGTGGAAGTTCTAGCTTTTTTTTTGGCTGGTACTAGGGCTTGAACTTAGGGCTTGGACACTATCTCTTAGCTCAAGGCTGGGACTCTACTATTTAAGCCACAGCTCTGCTTTCTGCACTCCATGTGTGTGTGTGTGTGTGTGTGTGTGTGTGTGGATCCTGAGTACAAATAAAACAGATTTAGGACTGCTCAAGGCTAGCATTCTTCACTTCCGGCTTTTTAGTGACTAATTGGAGATAAGAGTCTCACCAGATTTTCTGTTAGGGCTAGCTTTGAACAGTGATCCTCAGATCTCACCCTCCTGCATAGCTAGGATTACAGGTGTAAGCCACCAGTGATGGTTCAAACTAAGCTTTGCAGCTGAACAGAGAGCCTAACCTTTAGTCTGTGTGTGTGTTTTGTGTGTGTGTGTGTGTGAGAGAGAGAGAGAGAACATGATTTCACAGACACTTTCTCATCTGATTCTTACCCATGGTCTGTATGGTTGGCCATGCTCAGAGGAGGTAACTGGCTTGTCCCAAGTCACACAGCTTGTCAGAGACAAAGTCAGGAGCTAATGCACATCTATGCTAAAACGTGAGAGCAGCTGGTGTTGGGTTGGCAAACAGCAGGCCCTCAATGAATGTTAGTTTCTTTATAAATCTAGAGTTCTTCTTCCCACTCTGCCACATTGTACACGCTTCTGGAATGTGTTTCCTTGGCTTTTGCATCTCTTCTTTATGCCTGAGGTTCTGTACTTTTTTTTCTGCTCTTTAGTCACTGGCTCTTGATTATTATTATTGATTTTTGTGTGTGCCAGTACTGGGGCTTGAACTCAGAGCCTCAGGGTCACACTGGGCTCAAGGCTAGTGTTCCTTCACCATTTGAGCCACACTCCAATTCTGGTTTCTTGCTGGTTAATTGAAGATAATTGTCTTGTATTTGTCCACATAGGTTGGCTTCAAAGCATGATCCTCAGATCTCAGCCTCCTGAGTAGGTGGCTTGACTCTTGATTTATAACAGCATCCACTGGGCAAGCCATCTTCACTCTTCAAAAACCTGGAGGCTAGCGTGGCCATCAGACCCACTTAGATCCCTCCACTTTACAGATGAGTAAACTAAGGCTCCGGAGGATGTGACTTACCAGGGTACACAATGAGATGGATGAAAATTGGAGTCACTTTATTTGGGTCCACAGCAGGCTGGAACTGAAGCAGAGAGGAATGAGGGGCATGTGGCCCACGGAAGGAGCAGAGTCAGGGTGGCTGGCATGCAGAGGAATGTGATGGCTGAATGTGGCGTCGCCTCACTACCAGGAGGTGTTAGATGGGCTGGGGCCTGTGCTTTTTGTAGGGTAGAGAAGGCTGGAGTGGTCGTTGGTTGTTTTTTTTGCTTTTTTTCCCCTCAAGGCTAGTGCTCTACCACTTGAACCACAGCTCCACTTCTGGCTTTTTTGTGGTTAATTGGAGATGAGTCTCACAGACTTTTCCTGCCCAGGTTGGATTCGAACCGTGATCCTTAGATCTCAGCTTCCTGAGTAGCTGAGATTACTAATAGGCATGAACCACCCTGCTTGGAGTAGCAGTGGTTTTTTTGTTTTGTTTTGTTTTTTCCCCTGTCGGTCGTGGGGCTTGAACTCTGGGCCTGGGTACTGTCCCTCAGCTCTTCAGCTCAAAGCGAGCACTCTACTGCTTGAGCCACAGTGCCACTTCCAGTTTTCTGGCAATTAATTGAAGATAAGAGTCTCACAGAGTTTCCTGCCCAGGCTGACTTTGAACCGTGATCCTCAGATCTCAGCCTCCTGAGTTGCTAGAATTATAGGTGTGACCTACCAGCGCCCGGCTGGAGTAGCAGTGTTTTATGTGAATGTGGCCATGGGTACCTTCTGCCAGTGCTGTAGTTAGGTGGTGGCAGGGATTTTCAGAAGGTGGCCTATGGTGGTGGACATCACGTTGTTGGAGGTTGCTGTTAATACCACATGGTGACTCACGGCCATTGTGCAGCCCAGTGGTTTTCATCTGCTCCGTCAGGAGCATGGGGGTAGTGGAGCAGACCTGGCTGTGCCACCGTGTGTCATAGTAGATTTGGATGAAATAATCACTTAAAGGACTCTGCCTGGTGCTGGTGGCTCACACCTGTAATCCTAACTACTAATGAGGCGGAGATCTGAGGATCACAGTTTAAAGCCAGCCCAGGCAGGAAAGTCTGTGAGACTCTTATCTCCAATAAACCACCAGAAAACCAGAAGTGGCGCTGTGGCTCAAGTGGTAGAGCGCTCGCTTTGAGCTGAAGAGCTGAGGGACAGCGCCCAGGCCCAGAGTTCAAGCCCCATGACCGACCAAAAAAAAAAAAAAAAGAAAAGAAAAAAGAAAAAGCTGAGCATGAGGCTGAGGCCTTGTGTTCAAGCCCCAGCACTGGCACAAAAGGGAAACAAAGAGTCCCCTGACAGTGGGTATTGTGGTGTCCTGAGTTTGGGTCTTCCTCCTCTTTGGTGCAGAGACTTAAATGAGCTGCTCAGCCACTCAGCTGCTGTTTCCTCCTCTCAGGAGATGGAGGATGAGTTCTGGAAGCACCCAAGTGCCCACCACACAGACAGAACTCAGTACATGCATACATGTTAATCATTTCCTCCTGAGGCCAGTTGGCCTGGCTGGATTTGGGGGTGGGGAGGGGAGGGTGGGAGGGAGGGGCAGGAGGGCAGGGAAGCTGCAGTTGGTTGAGGTCCCCCCCCCCCAGTTTTGCAGTAAACAGCCAGGAGCTGCTGTGGTAAGTGCAGTCATCTGAACAAACGTAGGCTGGTGGCCTGATAGGGGTCCTGGAGACTCTGCCACCCACCTGCTCGCCTAGTTGGTGCTGACTCAGTGTGGGGGATGGGGAACGGGGGACAGTCGCTTCTAGTGGTGTGGGCCTCGATGTCCTTACCTGCTGAAAAGCCCTGATGAAATAAGGGTTCATCCCGCTCTCCAGCTTCTTGTCGGAGTTACTTGCAGACAGACGCTGCATACATAGGGTGTGGGCTTGGCATCTGTGGCAGCGACGCCCTTCAGGGCATCACTTGGTCTCTCGGTCTCTGTTGTCTGGTATCTCCCTCCAGCCTGCCAGGACAGCCCTCGGCACTGGGCTTGGGCACAAGTCTCTGTCACCTCCCCCAGGGGAGTTGAGAGCAGCTTGTCTTACATGAGGACGAAGGAAAAGGTCAGGGATTGACTGGAAGAGATGTTCTTAGTGTGTGGCTGCTTGGAGAGCATCCGCCACACCCAGCCGCCTTTTTCTTGTGCCTGCACTGGGCTTCCACTCAAGGTCTGGGCACTGTCCCTTAGCTTTTTTGCCCAAGGCTAACACTCTGCCACTTTAGCCACACCTCCACTTTGTTGTTGTTGTTGTTATTTAAAGATAAGAGTCTCAGTGGACTTTCCTGGGCTGGATTCAAGCCATGATCCTCAAATCTCAGCCTCCTGAGTAGCTAGGATTACAGTCGTGAGCCACTGGTGTCCAGCTCTGAGCGTGTTTAGACTTGGTGCTCAGAAGTTGGCTGGAAAGAGGAACTCACGCCCTGCTCACCCCTGTGCTTTCTCTCTTGCAGGTGTGGGCAAGAGCAGCTTACTGTTACGATTCGCAGACAACACTTTCTCAGGTAAGTCCTCCCCAGCTGCTGCAGAGGCATTTCAGTCTTGAAATCCTCTTCCCCAGCTCGGAGCACATGGCTTCTGTCTAACTCGTGGAACTTTCTCATTTTGGTTGTCCAAGGATGGCCAAGGAGGATGGTAATCATAGCTTAGAAGCTCTGTATTCTGTCGCAGTCTACCTGTTCAGAAAGCCTGACTCTTCTCCTTTCTTGGTCCAGGATCTGTCTCCTTACACCCAGCATTTACAAGACATCTTCCTGTTGGAAATCTCAAGCATGTACCTCCTGCTGCCCTAAGAACCTCTGCTTGGTATCTTTCTACTTTTTTTTTTTTTTGAGTTATAGGACTTGAACTCAGGACCTGGCACTATCCTTGAGCTCTTTTATTTAAGGCTAGCACTCTACCACTTGGGCCGCAGCTCTTTGTTTTCTGGTGGTCAATTGGAGATAAGAGTCTCATGGACTTCCCTTCCCAGACTGGCGTTGAACTGTACTCCGCAGATCTCAGCCTCCTGAGTAGCTAGATGACAGGTGTGAGCCACCAGCAACTGCTTTTTCCACTTTTTTTTTTTTTTTTGTCATGGGGCTTGAACTCTGGGCCTGGGCACTGTGCCTTAGTTCTTCAGCTCAAGGCTAGCACTCTACCACTTGAGCCCCTGTGCCTCTTCGGTTTTCTGGTGGTTTATTGGAGATAAGAGTCTCATGGACTTTCCTGCCTGGGCTGGCTTTGAACCACAATCCTTAGGTCTCAGCCTTCTGAGTAGCTAGGATTACAGACATGAGCACTGGCGCCCAGCCTCCACTGTTTTTTGACTCCACCTGTTCTTCAGAAACTTTGCTCCTCTCTGTCAGAATTATGCTTTCACCCTGCCAGCCACAGGCCTCCCTGGGTGGCAGTGGCTGTGTAGTTTTGTGTGCTGGGTGCGCATGTAATACTCCGCCACAGGGCTCATGCTAGTGTGTGGCTTCTGGGGGCTTCTGTGGTCCCACCTTACTCGGCATACTTACACGTGTGTACGGGGCTCCCCAGAAGTGAGGTCACGGAGCCATTGGGTCTGAGGCATGTCTTCTTTTCCCTTGCAGAGATACTGAGATAATTTGAAGGGATTGAAAATGCTCCTTGTCAGCTCTGATCAGTGCAGAAAGCGCTGCCTTGCCCACCTCCAGCAATGTCTGCAGCAATAGTCATTGGAAAGTTAGCTTCTCCGTGTGACCTTGAGGGAGTGACTCAGCCTCAAGTTGTAGAAATGTCGCTGTCCCTCTGACGTGGTGGGATTAGGCGCACCTGAGAGCCCAGGACCCAGTGCCTGGAGCCCAGTAACCGCCCACTGTTCATTGTGGCTGTTAGATGAACTACTGGGCAGCCTCTGCTTAGGCCAGGAATTGTCTCTCTGCCTGTCAGCTGCCCGCTCTAGGGAGATGCTTTGTGGTCTCCTCTCCTCAAGTGGACTTCCGGTATCTTAGCCCACTGTTGGTTCTCAGTAGGAACATTCCCACACCACTCATCCGTGGCTCAGCAGCCATGCTTCTGTGTCAGATCCCTGCGGCCCTGTCTCCCCTGAGCAGGGTTTACAGCAGGGCTTCTCCATGTCACACTCTTGACACTGGGCCCGGCAATTCTGTGTTATGTGTGTGTGGCGGGGATGGGGGGATGCTGAGTCAGATCAGCCTCCTAGATGCCCATGGCACTGTGACAACCAAAATTGTCCCCAGATGGTGCCTGATATATGGAAACAAGACCTTCCCTGATTGGAGACCTCGGATCTTCTATTTTCTTTCCAACTTCCCTTCTTATTCTGTGTGGTGTGTGTGTGAGAGAGAGAGAGAGAGAGAGAGAGCGAGAATGCATGTGCGCATGTGCGCACACGCATGCTGGTCCTGAGCTTGAACTCAGGGCCTGGGTACTGTCCCTGAGACTTTGTGCTCAAGGCTAATGATGTTCTATCACTTGAGCTACAGCTCCACTTCCTGCTTTTTGGTGGTTAATTGGAGATAAGAGTCTCACAGGCTTTCCTGCCCAGGTTGAATTTGAACTAAAATCCTCAGATCTCAGCTTCCTGAGTAGCTAGGGTTCCAGGCCTAAGCCACCAGCAGTCGGCTTACTCCTTTTTTTTCTGGCTCACTCACATGTACATTCATCCAACCATCAGCTGTTTGTTTAGTTCCTAACCATGTAAGTTGCTGGGTTTTCTGGACCCTGAACTGAATCAGGTGCTAGCTTGGTTTCTGGCTGGGTTTTGGCCTTAGCTGCTTGCTTCCATGTGGGGCCTCTCTGCTCCTCTTGAGTATGACCTTTGGTAGTCTTACCTATTCTTTCAAGTGGAGCCCAGCTATGACCCCCTTCCCCCTATTGCCTTGATTTCTACCTCACCCTAAACTTTGACCTTTCCCACACTTCTTATGATGATTTGTGTGTGCATATGTATGTGTGTGCATGTATGTATCTATCTATATGTCTGTCTCCTGCACAATGTGATGTGGCACGCTGTGAACGGAGCAAGACTGCTCAGAGTAGGCGAGCCTTTGTCAGCCTAGACTGGACTGGAGCGTCGTACCGGCTCTTCTCAAATCCACCTTCCACAGAGATGCCCCAAGCAGCTCATTAAACGTAATCTTTACCTGACTTACGTAACTGTAACCCCTCTGGACATCACCTTTATAAAAACAATAAAAAATACAAAAAAAACCCATAAACAAAAACCCCGCAGCTCGTGTCCTGGTGGAGACTCAGTCCTCCCCATCGCACACAGGAAACAGTCTACATTGTCAAAATGACACAGAGACCTAGATGTCAGCCGTGGATTCCCGGCCTGCCCAGCTATGGCTTGGCCTTGCAGACCGTGGACTCATCATCTCTGCCTGGATCAATGCTTTAGGTTATACCCTGTTAGTATGTTAGGAAGTTAGTTTTCTGGACCATTTAATTTTTTTTTTGGTTGGTCGTGGGGCTTGAACTCTGGGCCTGAGTGCTGTCCCTGCGCTCTTCAGCTCAAGACGAGCTCTCTATTGCTGAGCCACAGCGCCACTTCTGGTTTTGTAGTGCTTTATTGGAGATAAGAGTCTCACTGACTTTCTTGCCCAGTCTGGCTTTGAACCACGATCCTCAGATCTCAGCCATCTGAGTAGATTATTTAATTTTTTAAATATAATTTTATTAGGTGATATACAGAGGGGTTACCATTTTGTAAGTCATGTAATGAGTGTGCGTGTGTGCGTGTATGCGCGCGCGCTTGAACTCAGGGTCTGGGCACTGTCCCTGAGCTTGCTCAAGATTAGCACTCTAGTATTTGAGCCACAGCTCTACTTCCAGCTTTTGGGTGCTTAATTGGAGATAAGAGTCTCACAAACTTTTCTCGCCTGAGCTAGCTTTGAACTGTGATCCTAAGATCTCAGCCTCCTGAGTAGCTAGGATTACAGGTATGAGCCACTGAGGCCTAGCATGAGAACATTTCTTTTTGGACAATGTCATCTTCCCTTCGCTTTCTCCCTATTTCCCCCTCCTGCCCACAAGTTGCATAAGTTCATTTTCCATCTTGTATTTCCTATGTTAGGAAGTCAGCTTTCTGAGTCTTTTATCTCCTCCTCCTCCTCCTCCTCCCCCTCCCCCTTCCTCCTTCCCCTTCCCTTCCCCGTCTCCTTCTCCTTCTCCTCCTTTTTTTGCAAAGAACGAAAGAGAAAAACCTGTAGTGGATCATAGGTCTGCCCATTCTCAAGTCACAGGTGACCTGTCCTGCCATTCTAGTGGAGCCTGTCTCTTTTCGCCGAGTCACATCCCAGTGTATTTCCTTTGTGTCATTCCCACTGTGAAACGTCATCTTTCTTAGTTTGTCGCCTTGTATCCTGCCTCCCTTCCACAGTGGACTCCATCGGGGCTCTTTGCTCAGGAATCTCGTGGGGCACAGAGCGTGTGCGGGGTGGGTGTTAGGCTCCCGAGATCTGCCCTGTGCAGTTTGGGGCGTGGAGGCCAGGGCTGCCCACTGGCCCCGGCTGACGGGCTGCATGTGTGCAGGCAGCTACATCACCACAATTGGAGTGGACTTCAAGATTCGGACTGTGGAGATCAACGGCGAGAAAGTGAAGCTGCAGATCTGGGACACGGCAGGGCAAGAGCGCTTCCGCACCATCACCTCCACGTGAGTCCAACCCCCCCCCGCCCCGGAGCCCCTTCCTCTTCCTGAAGATGCCCGAAGAGGCATTGCCATGCCCTGGCTTGCGTGGGGTGGGCAGACCGGGCTGAGTGCTGGCTCTGGGCCCCTCCCCTGGGCACAGCTTCCCCCAGCTAGCGGTGGCAGCTCTGTCACCCCAGTGCATGTGAAGGGCTCTGCCCACCCACGCACTGGCCAGGCAGTTCCTTCTGGTAGGGCTCTGGGCATCTACCCTAACGCTTCAGAGATGAATCTGTGGGGACATGTGGCTGTGGGGAACCCCTTCCTCCATTTCTCCCCCCCCAAACTCTATTTTTTTTTTTTTTTACCAGTCCTGGGGCTTGAACTCAGGGCCTGGGCACTGTCCCTGAGCTTCTTTTGCTCAAGGCTAGCACCACTTGAGCACCATTTCTGGCTTTTTCTATTTATGTGGTACTGGGGAATAGAACCCAGGGCTTCGTGTATGCTAGGCAAGCACTCTACCACTGAGCCACATTCCCAGCCCTCCCCAAACTCTTGACTGGAGCTCTGCTCCCCGCTGCTTTTGCTCCGTGGAGGCCCTTGGCCGCACGAGGAGGAAAGCTCGGGGTTCTGCCGCGGGGCTGTCAGTTGAGTGGAACAGATTCCAGGAAAGCGCAGGGTGGAGAGGCGGGCCGCTTGAGATGGGAATGTCTGCTCTGCTCTGGGTTTTTGGGCAAGTCGCCTAGACGGAGTGCGTGCTTGTTTCCCTGCGGGTTACCGTGCAGGGTTTGAATGCTGAGGCCCAAGGCCCAGTCCCCACTTTGTGCTTTTCCTGAGTCTTCTTGCTGACTTCTCCCACCGTTGTATGGATGAGCGAGCCTCTGAGCAGTGGTCTGTCCCCAGTGATGGCAGAGCCAGGGCTGGCTCCAGCAGAGGGCTGGGGTCTGGCCTTCTGTGGGAATTCCCGGGACCTCTCCCCAGAGCAGTTCCTGTCAGTGGACTCAGCCAGGCATGGGTGGCATCCCCCTGGGAGAGGCCCCTGTCCCCTTTCAGTGTAGACACTCAGATGTCTGTCCTGGGCCTTCAGGATCCCCGTGGTAGGGGTGGGGAGTGAGGAGGCGCAGGGCTGGGCAGGAAGGAGGCACAGGCGCTGTGTGGACTGTGCTAGCCAAGAGAGGCTGCCAGCATCAGCCCTGCAGTGGGCACATGAGCGTCTTGGCCGGGCTCCCCGAAGGCGCTCTGTGATGACACACGGGTGCGCGCCACCGGAGGCGAGGGCTTTTGGGTCAGGCTTCTTGGTGTAGGACAACATCAAGAGTCTCAGGTGTGGCTCAAGTGGTAGAGAGCTTGCTGAGCTCAACCCTCAGCACCACCACTCCCACCGAAAGCCAAACAGGGGAGCAGCTGGCAGCCCATGGACCCGAGCAAGGGCCCCTCGTAAGGGTTCGGGTTGGCAGATCTGCACCTGGAGCCACGCTCTCACTGTGGCCCAGGTGTATCCCTAAACACACGGGGTCCCGGTAAGGAGGCCTGTGAACAGCTTGGGAGTCACACGAGTGACTCTCGTGATTACTCAGGATTGGAACTGAAGCTCATCTGATGCCAAAGCTTAGGCCTTTCCCTGGCTCTGGCTCTGGGGGTTAAAAACCAGTTTAGGGGTTCACGGCAGCAGGGACAATAGGCCTGTGCCCCGGGCAGGGGGCTAGGGCATCGAGGCCTTCTCTGTAGATGCCGCTGCTGCTCCCCACCATGAAGTCTGCGCCCTTTGGGCTGGGCGAGGTGAGCGGAGGCTGAACTGCCGCTCTGTCGGGGAGACTTAGAGAAGTAACTCAGCACCCTGAGGACAAGTGTGTATTGTGGGGGCTGGAGGAGGGGAGGTCTCGGTGCTGGGGCCCGTGGACTCACTGGGGTCCTGCCTGCCTGTCTGGGGAGACACCACACACTTGTCACCCCGTGTTGGTAGTTGGGGGTGGGTCTGGGCCAGTGAGGGTACCGGATGTGGCCTTGTTTGATCCTGAGCACTGATACGGAGCAAAACTGCATCCTGCTGGCCTTCACAAGGCTCGCTCCCTCTCCCTGAGCAGCTGCAGTTTGCTTGTCTGAGGGGCGACTGTGGGGAGGTGGGGGGAGATAAGAGGGAAGTAGTAAGGGTGGGTGACTTGACGCTGGGCTGGGGACTCAGACCTGAGCCCCAGGATTCTAGCCAGACTCTCCCCTCACCATGTCCTCTGTCCTCCCTGGCAAATGGCCACAGTGGCTCCTGTTGGACTGAGTTGCTACAAAGATGAACAAGGTAGTGGGTGTGAGGGGCTTGGCCCAGTGCTTGGCCTGAGCTCTGCGCCCTCCTGCTCCTCAGCCCGGAGCTTGCGCAGATGAAGGCCTGTCCCTTGCCCAGCGCAGGCACGGTGCTGAGGAGTGGCAGGGGCTCTGCCCAGGGCCACGCTGGGGCATTTCTCGGGTGCAGGGGCATTCTGCTGACAGGGATCAGGGTCACCCTAGAGGCCACCATCAAGCTGCTGGGTGATGAGCTGGTGCTCAGGGCAGCAGCTGCCTTGGGGCTGGGGCTGGGGCGGGTTCAGGCTGTGGGCCAAGTGAACGCCTGCCCTGGGTGGAGGGACAGCTGCAGAGGCTACACACGGTGCCCTCCAGGGCCGCCCCGCCACCTCTATCTGGGACCCCAGATTGCCCCGGCAGGAGCCGGAAGAATGATAAGGAGCATTCCGCCCTTGGGGTATCTGTGTTACCTTTTTAACGCCTCACATAACCCCAAGAGGTGAGTACAAGCACCCCCATTTTATGGTTGTGGAAACTGAGGCAAAAGCAGTAACCTTGAAGTCCTAGCATTTTAGAGATGGAGCCGTGTTCTTTTGTCCTCAGATCAGCCTGTAATGTGAAGAGGCGGCAGAGAGAGTTCATGGGCGGGCAGATGGGAACAGAGCGGCACTAACAGCCCAGCCGCTGCTCCCGCTCCCTGCCCGGCCCGCACCCCCTCGGAGCTGGGCTTTGGGAGAAGGGCTCCCCACACTGGGTAGCAGCAGCCAGCAGGCGGGGAGAAGCAGCCTGTCCACAGCGTTTGTGTCCCTTGGGGGGTTCTCAGAAGCCCATAGGCACTGAGGGCCTGCGCTGTGGCCGCGCACTGAGAGGGTCAGCACCAGGGCTTCTTGGAGTTGATGTCCTCCACCTGTCCCCTGAGCCACCAGCACGAGGAACCACATCTTCCTTCCAGACCTTGTAGCAGCTCTTCTGCAAGGTTTGGATGGCTAGGCCCCAGCCTTACGTGTTCTTGTTGCTGTCCAGCCCCCCCCGCCCCCGGAGCCCAGAGATGCAGGAAGGGAGGGGTGCGCTTTGCCAGGGCTCCACGAATGAAGCAGCTTCTGGGAATGGCATTTTACTAAACCAGATTTCAGGAGAGAAAGTTCTGAATGTTTGAGCAAGGATCGTGACCCTCGGATGGCAAACACAAAATTTGCCTGAATTCTAAAGATAAAACGAGAACTTCAGAGAAGCCTCCAGCTGCTGGCAGACCCTGAATCCCCTGGGGTGACTCCTCAGACCTGGTCTGTCACCTCTGGGCCAGCACCCCTCCTCTCTGATGCCCTGGGGACAGGCACGAGGCACCAGTGCTGTGGGAGCCTGCAGCGGGGTGCAGGGCCTGGCCACGGAGGGAAGCAGCTGCTCTTGTCTGGGCTGAAGCCTCATGCACTCTTGGCCCCACAGGTATTATCGGGGGACCCACGGGGTCATTGTGGTTTATGACGTCACCAGTGCTGAGTCCTTCGTCAACGTCAAGCGGTGGCTTCATGAAATCAACCAGAACTGTGATGACGTGTGCCGAATATTAGGTGAGGCCGGGTTCTGGGGTGGGGCGGTGCGGGCGGCGCGGTGGTGGGGTACGGGCGGCACTCGGGGCTCTTGCGGAGCTGGCTGACTCTGCCCTGTCTTGAAGTTGGCAATAAGAATGACGACCCGGAGCGGAAGGTGGTAGAGACGGAAGATGCTTACAAGTTTGCCGGGCAGATGGGGATCCAGCTGTTTGAGACCAGCGCCAAGGAGAACGTGAACGTGGAAGAGGTGAGGCCCAGCTGAGGCCCTGGG